ACCCTTTTATGTTACTTTTGAAAACAATTTTAACATTTCCTTAGTTTGATTCCTGACACACCTGGGAGTGTGCCTGAATCTCGCAAACCAAGGCTCTGAAACCAACGTGTAACGACCCAAATTTTACAAGGAATTTTTTTCATTTTTAATTGATAAAACACATTGCATAATCGTGAAATCCCAACATAATTGTTTTCAAATAAATATTCATTACAACTTCATTTGAATCATCAGAGTGTCCCAAAAACATATCAATGAAAGAGAGATAGAGTGTACGTCGCGCCATCACGCCTTGCCCTTTCCCATTGGGCTTAGATGTACCTGAAATGAATCCACAAACAGTAAGCTTGAAAGCTTAGTGAGTTCCCTAGAGCATAACCACACACAATCACATAAATGTAACGTCCTAGCTAAACAACTATACAAATCACATAAGCCATGCATACAACAGATAGGCATGTCGTGGGCTCGTCCCTAGGGTCTTACTCCAGGATGCCATGGGCTCCCCAAATGGTTTTACACCTAAGTGTCATGGGCTCTCCCATGGTCTTTGATAGGAAAGCCATAGGCTCTCCTCATTGTCTTACATCAAAGTGTCATGGGATCCCTCATGGTGTTCGGTAGGAAATCCATGGGCTCTCCACATGGTCTTACATCTAAATGCCATGGGCTCTCCCATGGTCTTTGATACCACATAACACATATAATACAAGCATATCTCCTAGTTCATACCAACTATCATACCAAATAGTAATATTATGACTAGGACACTATATATCATGAAATGGGCCGGCCTTGGTGCCTTAGACCCATTGGTATGGTGAGGAAACTCACCTCTGTCTGCTGAATGCGAAAGCTGCTCTTCTAACAATTTGTAGCCTACCGTGATGAATAATAAAATTAATCAATGTTAGGACTTTAAATTAATCAAAGGAAACCCAAACTCTATACCCTTCCATGAGGCCCAATTATCATTCCCTTGTGAATGAGCCCAAAGCCCAAGTCCAAGATCATTAATGGGCTTCTTGGCCTAATAAGGCCCAATCAATATGCCCATGGTCCATAACAGATGATATGGCTCATAATTCCCGGAATATAACCATGACCGATAATCAAATGAGGCCCAATAGTTCAAATGACCAAAACATATTTGGTCTAACTGTGATGCGTACGCTCGGCGTACCATCCTGGTACGCGCAACGTACTGGGGTCTTAGGACTACGCGCGATGTACACTAGGTTACGCCCATCGCACTACCAGATTAAGCACTTTCTCCATTAAGTGCTTAATACTCATTTCCTTTACGTCCAAAAGCCAAATCTAAGTTTGTTAAGACGTCCTAAGGTGTTAAGACGTCCTAAGGCATAAAGTTGGCAACTTTATGTCTTTGCATGCCTCATAAACACCCAACACCTCCATTAAGACCTTTCCAAGGTCTTTAACCCATGCATGAGGCCAAAACTTCCACCAAGAATCCATTTGTATGATACCTAAGGACCAAGGGACCTCAGATTTGTCATTCCCAAATCCTGGAGTTGCTTAACTCACAAATGGAGGTCCAAAATCACCGAAAGGGGCAAACTAGAAAACCCTAGCTAGATCTAGAGATTTAAGTGGAAAGGTGCAAGCTTTTTACCTCTAGAAGATTTGCAAGAAGTCCAAGATTCAGATTCTTGAAGCACCAACCCGTCCTAAGCTTGCTTGACCACCTCCTCTTATTGAAAGAACTCTAAAATGGACACCAAAACCCACTCCTTCAGCTCAAAATGCTCACACACAATACTTCAGTTGAAGGTAGATGAAAAGAGGCTAAAGAGGATGATAGGGTTTGGTCCAATAGGCTAAAAGGTGTTTAAATAGGGGACAAGTCCGAGATTTAGGGTTTTGGCTCTCTGTTACGTACGCTCGGTGTACCCTTACGTACGCCCAATGTACGTAAGGCTCCTCTGCGATCCTTTATGCGAAGTATGCTAAGCGTACTCATAAGTATGCCCAACGTACTCAAGGGACCAATTATGTCAAAAAATAGAAATTCTTCGAGGGTTCAATCCATACCTAATTTAGGGCGTTACACGAGGGATCACATTTAGTTGTCAGGTACCAAATAGATTGTCAGGGCTGTAAACGAACCGAAAAAACATGACCAAATTTTGTTCATGTTTGTTTGTTTAAGTTAGCTGAAAAAAGAAAACGAACATGACCAAATAAATGAACAAGTTTTCTTATTCATGTTTGTTTTTTAACAAATCACTCTATTTATGTTCGTTTGTTTATGTTTGTGAACATGTTAAACGAACATAAATGAATGTAGAAAAACAAACACAATTGAACATATATGAACATAAATGAAGATATAATATAGTAATGTAATAAAAAAACAATTGAATATAATTAACTTAAATGGACGAACATAAACGAACGTTCACAAACATAAATGTACAAACGAAATCATTGTTCATGTTCAGTTGTTTAACTAAACGAACATTAATTTGTGTTCACGTTCGTCCGTTCATTAAATAAATGTTCTTAAACAAATTTTCCACCAAACAGTTCATGAATAGTTTATTGGAATTTCGGTTTGCTTACAACCATATAGATTGCTGATCGGAAAACTTTCTAGAATCAATATATGACATAATCATGTATTAGGATATTAGCAAACAGAAAATGTTATCAGAAAAAGCAATCATGTATTTTACATTAAAAGCATATAAAACCCACTTAGGTTGTACGTCAATTTTTGAGGCTTTGTTTGTTTTTTCTTTGACATTATGAACTAGCCATGAAGCTTATTAAGTACTGTCTCTAACTGACTATACAATTAATCCTAAATTATCTTGTATCATCGATATTTGTCACACCAAGAAAACACACAATTAATTTCGTAAAAAAGACATTACTAATGATATTCATAAATTAATGATATGATAAATGTTGAAATCATCAAAGTTAGATACAAAATCCAAATACTCATCCTTCAGCGGTTGATGAGTCAAATAACCATTGAACCCATTCTCCAACAAATATTATAGACACACTAGGACAAGATCTCGTCCTATAATTCATTAAGAGATGTTTCAAATACATTTGTAATGTGTTCCAATTTTATCGACTCGGCTTGACCGTAGGAAACACACATAATCAGAATGTGTGACCGGAACTCCAAGCTGTAAAAAATTCACCAAATTGAAAGCCGGTGACAAGGAAAACTTTCATATTCCCAAATGTCAACTCATACTCCTCGATCTCAAAAACCATTTCTTGTATTTAATTTCGAGGGTATGTCACAACTTCTTTGAAGAATAGATAATGTAAAAGCAAATGATCCTATTCTATCTAGACAGGAACATCTAAACACTTACCAAAACACGTAAGTCAGAATATAGCCTCGCATAACGATTGGTTCATGTATTTTGCAAGAATATAATGGCAAGTTTGCAAGAAATTGTAAGAGAAACATAAAAAAGTTGTCATATAAGAAAGTACTTTAAAGTTAATCTCATATTGTAAATAGTGCTCCAGAACGTATTGTTCTACATATTTCAAACTAGTTCATCGTATCGTATCCCGGATAGGTTCTTTGTAATCCATACATGTTTGGAATACGGAATTTATGTTTTTGTCGATATAATTATTTCCCGAATACTTTGAGTCTTTAGTAATACTAAAATTTTACATAATCAAGACACCTAATAACTTATATAACATTCTGGACTTGTTTTTTATGTTCCAATGTTTTTAAACTTTTAGTTATAAAATTAAACAAATAACTTATATAACATTTTGGACTTATTTTCCATATGTCAATGTTTTTAAACTTTTAGTTAGAAAATTAAACAAGAAATAATTGAGTTATTAACTCACCCATAAGACCTTAAATTCGTTGGAATCAATTGTCATATATTCTCGTGCCATCAAGTGTGAAATATAATAATATCCTGATTTCCATGCTAGAATGGGTTATGTAAAACCCTCTAGATTAGATAGTACTTTCTCAAAAAAATAAATAAAAATAAATGGTTAATATTTTAAAAAAGAGAAAATTTCAAATATAATCAAATTCCTTAATTATTTTGTAAAAAATAGCAAAAAAAAAAACCAAATTCCAAAAATAGCCATCAAAATCCCAGATGGACTCGGTTCATCTGTAATTTTACTTGTCCATCTGCGAACATACAAATCGCTAAAGCATATCTTTGCTTTAGCGACTTGTACGTTCGCAGTCCATCTATGATTTTGCGTCCATTTGTGATTTCCACTTTTTCAGGGTTATAAAAACGAATTTTTTTTTCTTCTTTCATTTTTCAAATTTTTTTTGGAGAACTCTCTCTATAGAGGTTTTATGGTCGATTTCATTTTTCAAATATCTTTAAAGTTTTTGTTGGAAAATTCATTCTATTATGGATGTTTTAAACAAATATTCCAAAGAAATAAGAATTAAATTGATAATTTTTTGCAAAACTCTATATATAATAATGTTGTTTCGTACTTAAACCCAATCGATTTTGCAGTCAATTTTTTTAAAAAGAAATTAAAAAAAACCCCGCAAAATCGCAGGTGGGATGAGAGAAAATCATAGATGAACTTAGTGCATCTGTGATTTCAGCCAAAGATTGGGGTATTTATACGAAAAAAAACTAAAAAAAAACGTCTGCGAACATACAAGTTGCTAAAGCACGGCTGTGCTTAACGACTTGTACGTTCGTAGATGGAACGCTAAAATCGCCGATGAGTTTAATCCATCTGCGATTTTCATGGCTATATTTATAATTTGAGGTTTTTTTTAGCTATTTTCCACCAAATAATTAAAGAATTTGATTATATTTGTAATTTTCTCTTTTAAAAAACCAATACAAGATGTTTGGATTATTCAATATCCATTTACTATTTTTAGAATTTTGAAAAAAAAATATTTTAATATCATAAATTATAATTTACAAAAAATTAAATAAGTTATGAAACAAAATAAAACTCTCATAACAACCCATTCGACAAAAAATTCCCCAATAAACTACTATTTATAGAATGCTCTACCATAATCGGACATTACTGACATAATATAATTATTTAATTTTAATTATGAAATTAACAATGACACATGAAAACACACAAATGAAATAATGATAGCAAACAGAGTTAACACATTGATTATCATCCATCTCCATCTAAGACACATCCAAAGGCCAGCCTTGTTTAAAATGATTGCAAACACATGCTACTCCTCCTGGTTCCTCCACACATGAGTCTTGCCCCTCTTCTCCATTCCACCACTTTTACGTCAAACACACACACACACACACACTTCCTCAAGAACACGAACCCAACAATTCACACAACAGAAACAAAGTAACACAGAGATACTTCGAGACACAGGGTTGGGGAGAAGCAAATTTCTTGTGATCACTCATCACTGTGTGAATTACACACACACAGCAACGTAATTCTCCCCTTCATGCCCACAAACACACACTCACATATATATAAGACCTGAGAGAGAGAGAGAGAGAGAGAGAGAGAGAGAGAGAGAGAGAGAGAGAGAGTTTTTATCTGGGCTAGGTGTTTTTTCTTTTACAGAGATAGGGAGTGAGCGAAATGATGCAGGAAGGGGGATCATCGTCGTTGACGGCAGCGGGGGAAGGAGGAGGGAGGAGGAAGCCGTCGTGGAGAGAGAAAGAGAATAATCGGAGGAGGGAGCGACGGCGGAGAGCGATTGCGGCGAATATATATAATGGGTTGAGAGCACAGGGGAACTACAATTTGCCTAAACATTGTGATAACAATGAGGTTTTGAAAGCACTTTGTCAAGAAGCTGGTTGGGTTGTTCTTCCTGATGGCACCACCTTTCGTAAGGTATAAATTATAATCTTGTTTTTTTGTTAATTCTACTGAATTATGTTTAAATTTAACCCGGGTTAAGCAAAACCCTCGTCCCCAATTCGATCGATTCGTATCTGTTGTTCTTCGTTCATCGTCAGTAGCTAGATCTAGCGGTTTGCTGTTTGCCACTCCGATCAAATAATTGAGATTTAGTTTGTTTTGATTTGGGAAATTTGATGGGTTTTCATGAATTGAAAAGCTTTATCTTGAATTATGGAAATAGATTTTGGGGTTTATAAGCTGTAGATCTGTACATTATCATGATTTTTACGAGTTTTGATTCTTGATTTGAAACAGGGTTCGAAGCCACCACTACCTTCCATCGAAACCGGCGGCACATCCACCACTACGACGCCGTGTTCTTCCCAGAAACCAAGTCCGCCGTCTTCATCGTTTCCGAGTCCGATCCCTTCATATCAATGCAGCCCATCATCTTCATCGTTCCCAAGTCCATCAAGTAACCCATTTGCATTTCTTCGAAACACCATTCCATCTTCTCTCCCACCTCTCCGGATCTCCAACAGTGCCCCTGTAACTCCACCTCTCTCATCTCCAACTTCAAAGTGTCCTAAACCCAACAATCTCAACTGGGAATCGTTCACAAAACAATCGATTTCCTCATTCAATTTGCCATTTTTTGCGTCGTCTGCGCCTACAAGCCCTACCAGGTCCCACCGCTTCACACCTGCAACTATCCCGGAGTGTGATGAATCTGATTGCTCCACCATTGATTCATGCCAATGGTTGCGATTCAAGAACTATGAACCGATGGCGATGACAAACCCCAACTCCCCGACTTATAACTTGGTGAAACCGGTGGCTAGAGCTACCGCTGCCATGGATGCGAGCTCGGAGAAAGGTAAAGGGATGGAATTCGAGTTTGAGAATGGAGGAGTGAAAGCATGGGAAGGCGAGAGGATTCATGATGTTGGAGTCGATGATCTTGAACTCACTCTTGGAAGTGGGAATTCTAAAATATAATGTGTGTGTGTGTGTTTGTTTTAAAGATTGAAGTTAGCAACTTAAGCATGGCAGTGAACAGTTCTTGAAGATGCACATTAAATATTGAGTAGAAATTATGATATTTTATATGAATTTCTTTTTTCATTCTTTTTTTCGATCATTATGTTGGATGATTGAAGACCCAATTTACATTTGTGAGAAAGATTGAATCTTTTCAAAAGTTTGATGAAAAAGTGTCAATTGGTGCTGTGTTGTTTGCTTTCTTGTAAAAGTTTATTCTCTTTTCTGGCCTTTGGTAGAAGATGCATAACCCGAATGATTAAGAATTTGTTGTGTCCTTATGTTTATTGACTCATTTTATAAAATTAAGGGTGTTTTTGATTTTATCTTTTTCAAAAAGTAAAAAATGAGGTAAAAAATGTTTGTGAAAAGGAAAATATCTTTTAAAACCAAATTTTCAAAAATAAAGAAAAAGAGCATTTGGAAAAGTTAGGTATCCATGACTTTTTGAAATCTTAACACTTAAATTACTTATATACCCTAAACTACCACTATCCTAATTAATAAACCTTTCGAATTTTTAGTTATTTTACAACTAAAAGTTAAACCAAATATCTTTTAAAAACAACTTTTGATTTTTGTTTCTTAAAAACTAATTCAAACATATTTTTAAAAACATCTTTTTGTAAAAAGTTATTTTACAAAAAATCTTTTTATAAAAAAGACTTTTAAAAGTAAAAAAATATCCAAACACCCCCTAAATTACATCATGACCTTATTCATGAAGAAAAAGGTTATTTTCCGGTAACTACATATTATATATTCTATTTGCATCGTATTATATGTGAATCGGGTGCACAAAGACTCGTTAGGATAGCAAAAGTGTCCAGCAGAAAGCTCGATCGGAAATTGATTTAAAAAATTTCACACCGTAGCTGTGGAGATTTTGAGAATCAAATCGTAAAATCTTAAAAAAAAAAAATTAGAAAAAATTACATAACTGATCCTTGTGTTGATAAAATCGATGAATTCTAACCCTTATAATGAATTTATTTGAATAGACAGTTATGTGGTTTCAAAATCTTGCAATTTTTTTTTTGGGTAACAATTTCTGTTAGGTCTTATGTGAGATGGTATATGTGTCCTCCTGCCACAGGGACCATTTATGTAAGTTGTCATGTAGTTTTTTCTATTATTTATTATTGTTTTTACTCAAGTTATTTATATTTTATATGATTTAAATTTTTTTGACATTGGAATATATTGTTTAATGTTTTTGTTAATACTTTTTAGCTTACATTTTTTTATGTATTGTTCGAATATATTTATTAATATTTTTTTTGATGTTTTTTTAGAATATTTAATTATAATTTTTATGATGTTTTATTCGAATATATGTTTTGATGTCTTGTTTTTATGTTTAATCTATTTATATTTGTTAAAGATTTCATAACACTGTAATCATACTTCGTAAGTAATTTACTTTCAGTAATGTTTTTTTTATACTTTTAATATATATAAGGTTATATAGATATTATTTTATAATTCAAATATTTAACTATATAACACATAAGGTTGTATAATTTTTATGTTTGTGAAACTTTTCATAAACATATTTTGAAAAAAAAGTGTAAAAAGTTTTGTTAAACATGAATACGATTAATATAGATTAAGTACACATATTCTAACCTAAGACTGTATCGCAACCTTGTGAGAGTGACCATGTCATTTCGCGTTGGACTTAATTGTAATGTTTTTCGAGTTATTTATTTCTTTTAGACATTTTGTTCGTTTCAGAGTTATACGGATTCTGGTTAGTCTATGTATGACTTGACATCTGTTTTGGATTCCGATTAGCCTATCTATATTAATCATATTCACGTTTAAATAACATTTTTACATTTTTTTTTACACCAAAAATGTTTATAAAAAGATTTACAAAAATAACAAATATACAACCTTATATATGTTATATAGTTAAATGATTGAATTAAAAATAATAATTTAAAAAGAACAAAAAAAAACACTATTTGTAACTGAATTAAGTTATGAATTATGACCATAGCAACCATGAAATCTTTAAGTATAAAAAAAAAACAAAACATAAAAGAAACATTAAAAAATGTAACCGAACAAAACATCAAAAAAAAAATTAGAAGAAATTATTTCAAGAGAATATCTAGAAAAGTTAATAAATGCATTTGAAACAAATGCCAAATAATTTAGAAGAAAATATTCAAACAAAATGTCAAAAAAATGTAAAAAAAAAAAATTAAACAATATATTCGACAAAACGTCATAATAAACCTAATCATAATCACACAAATAAATTAAATAAAAACAATAATAAATAATAGACAAAATTATATAAATGGTTCTTGTAACATGAACACATTACATAAATGATCTAAACTAGTAAAGAGGTTTGTGCGTTGCACAAATCATATATATATTTTTTTGTTAATGTTTTAGACACACGAAAATCTAACAATCTGTTGTCCAAAAATGTATGTTCTCAAATTATATAGCAAAAAATATATAATATCAAAATTACCAAAAAAGCGACGGTGCTGATAGAATCTTTTCGATTTTCTTGTAAGCAGAATTTTTTTCAATTAATAAAAAAGGTACTTCAAAAGTCAGGGAAATTATTTTAGTTACATCCTATTTTTTTCTATTAATTTTCAAATATTCAGATCATTGACACCTATATAAATTGCTAATAAAAAGATAATATGTAATTCACTTGAAACTATTTTATTGACATATTGCAGAACCTTGAGTCAAAAATATCATCTTGTATTTTGTAGATCGACTCGCATAAAATCACAGACTTTTGGAATGTTGGTTGTACACCTACATAGAACAATGCATAGAACAACAGTTCGTTAATAAAACCAAAAAAATGCGCTCTCTTGGCCGTCAAATGAAATAATCAAGGCAATCATTTTGTCTTCTTGATGGTTGTCATCAAGATTCTTTCAAATAAATTACTAATAGATAAGTAAGGAACAACAATTTCTTTAGTCTTCGAGACTAAAATGATGTAGAAATCAATTTTAAAAGTCAAATCAGATAATAAACATCACTACCTCAAGATTTTGATACTAAAATGGTCTAAGAGAAAACTGATGAAGTAAAATTTAGCTATGCAGAAGTGAAATTGCAAAAATCATTAATAGATAATTAATTAAAATATGTTGTGAAACAGAAGCAGAACACTAACTCACCTAGGTACACAACACACTACCAACACTCTAGTGGCATGGTATATTGGTGATCGCGACGCGGTGTTGCGATTTCGTGTTTTCCAGTTTTTAATTTGTCGACCAGACGCTAGTGTCAACTATAGGTTCTTCTCCGTTTGACTCTTGAATTTCTTCAAGATCAATTTGATTCCCACCGGCTTCTTTGGATATGAGATCCCTCTCAAGGAATAATCCCCTTCAAGAAACAAACACCTTATTCTTAAAAAGCTTGTTAAACAAGTATCTAAAAGACTTTTGTGGATAACCAATAAAGTAAGACATCTCTAATATGGATTCGAGTTTATTGTTAGCCTCGCAATGAACATAAGCTTCGCATACCCATACTTGACATGTGCTAGAGAAGAAAGTGTCTCACTCTATATTTCAAAGGATGTTTTAGCAACCTTCTTAATTGGTACGAGGTTTAAGATGCGAACAACTGTCTCTAAGGCATATTCTAAAAAGTTATCGGAAGTGTAGATCGACTCATCACAGATCGAACCATATCTAATAGCGTTTGATTTCTTCTCTCAGCAACACTATTAAGTTGTGGCATTCTGGGAGGAGATAATTGTGAAACTATTCAACAATTCTTTAAATGATTGTAGAATTCAAGACTTAAATATTTCTAACCACTATTGAAGTGAAGCGTCTTGATATTCTTTCCTAGTTAATTCTCTTCTTTGTTTTGAAATTCTTGGTACACTCAAAGGTTTCTGAATTATGCTTTGCAAAATAGATATATCCATATCTACTAAAATCATTAGTGAAAGTCACAATATCATTCACCATGTTTTGTGGTGAATCTGAATGGTCCACAAACATCTATGTGAATGAGGTCCAACAGATCCTTAGCTATTTCATAATAACATGTGACTGGTGACTTTGTCATCTTGCCAAGTGAGCAACATTCACACATATCATCTGAAATTAAGTAAAATGATTCCAAAATTCCATCCGATTGGATATTGGCGATGCGTCTTGTTTATATTGTCAAGATGACAATGCCACAAACATGATTTATCTAACACATTTTTGGAAGAATCAACGTTTAACATTAGATTATCAAACTTACTTACGGAAAAAAAAAACATTCTCATAAATACCACTGCAAGGACTAGCTTTGAAAATAAAAGAACCATTCTTATAAACCAAAATGTCACCATTTTCATTATAAAAAAAAGTTGACAACCATCCTTATACAATGCATGAAAAGAAATAATGATTCATTATTAGGCGAAAAGTAACAATTTAATAAACTAAGAAGAACACCACTAATAAGCACGACCTCGTAATGTAACAACCCGATTTTTTCCATATAAATATTCTAGGGATTATCATAGTTTTCTATAAAAATGTGGAATTCTAAATCTCAAAAACACTTTATATCTTAGGATATTATCGGATTTACAACATATCATAACCATAATTTAAAGCAACAAGAAAATACTAAAAATAAAATTCTACTTCTAATCCAAGTCCTTGTGCTCCTATCTTCTCTCGTACGATGGCTACTACCTGAACCTACAACACATGAAAGAAAATACAATATCAGATAGGGCTGTAAACGAACCAAACGAACACGAACAAGGTCTTGTTCATGTTCGTTCGTTTAACAAATTACTTTGTTCATGTTCGTTCATTTATGTTCGTGAATATGCTAAACGAACATAAACGAACAAACATAAACCAACAAAGATAAAAAAACACAATTAAACATATATGAACATATGATATAGCAATATAATAAAAAATAATTAAATATAGATGAATATAAATAAACTTAAACGAACGAACATAAACGAAGGTAAATGAACATCGTAAACGAACGTTCACGAACATAAATGAACGAACGAGACCATTGTTCATGTTCGTTCATTTAACTAAACGAACGATAATTTTTGTTCATGTTCGTTCATTTATTAAATAAACGAACATAAACGAACTCCCCACTGAACAGTTCACGAATGGTTCGCCGAACGTTCAGTTCGTTTACAGCCCTAATATCAGACCACATGTCTGGTGAGTTATACTTTATCTATTCTCATGTATTCGTACTCTACTACCCAATTCTCTTCTTCTTATACTC